GTGAAAGCCGATCCGGCGATCCACAGCGTGAAGTTGTTGTATTTCCTCAGCGACCAGCACGGATCAGCTCTAGGCATGACGAAGCAGATATCGTCCTCTTTTGGAAGGCCAAACAAAGTAGTTTCGCTTTCACAACGAAACGCACAGCGCCTTCACGGCATGGCGGCGGCGGCAACAACAATACTACAGCAAGAATAAAAGTTACGCCGCCTTTCTTTGCGTGAACATTTGGGCGGCGTTATGCAAATCTTCACACATTGTGACGTAGATATGTTGGGGGTGTGTTAGAACGAGCCGTTTTAGGTAGGCGTGGTTGACTCAACTTTTATAAAGAATATCTCTTTGGATTTGAGACTTTAGTCTTTGCAACTTTACAGATCTTCTTTATGCACCAAGAGCTTGTAACACTCCAAAGAGAAAGGAAAAAATTAAATTGCATCATATGACCCCTTTAAATGTTTAAAAGAACAGTTCACCCAAAAATGAAAATGTGCTGATTTACTCACCCTCAGGCTATTCAAGATGTAGATGAGTTTGTTTCTTCATCAGAACAGATTTGGAGAAATTTAGCATTTCTTCACTTTTTCACCATTTAATCCTCTGCAGTGAATGGGTGCCGTCAGAATGAGAGTCCAAACAGCTGATAAAAGCATCACAATCATCCACAAGTAATGCACATGACTCCAGTCCATTAATTAACGTCTTGAGAATTAAAAAGCTATAATTTTGAAAGAAAAAAAATCAATCGTTAAGACATTTTTACTTTAAACCATTGCTTCTAGCCAAAATAATCCACAATAATGCTTCCTCCAGTGAAAAAGTTGTTCACTGACATTTGTTTAGAACTGTTTTGGACCTTTTGCTTGTAAACTGTGCTTAATCTGTGCATACTTATTCAGATGAGATTACTACTTTTTCACTTGGGAAAGCAATATTTTGGAGGTTTATAGGCTTGTATTATAGCTGTAAACAATCGTTTAGAATTAAAACACCTTAATGATGGACAAACACACAGCTTTTTGCTTCA